GGCTGCTCTTTGTGGAGTCAGGGATTGGATTTGATATCTGTGTGGGTCCCTTCCAAATTGAGATATTCTATGATTCTATAAATTCTGTAAACAAGTAGGAGTGATCTGAGCTTCTTAATTACTTGTGTGTCTGTAAATGGGATTATGTAGAATCTAATACAGGTTATATGTTAATATATGATAGTAATATGCTAATATATGATTAGGAAATGCACTTTATAAAGTGATGCCATCACTTCCCTACCCCACTTAGATTTTCTATTCTTATGTTAAAACTGTATTTCTTTATTTTCCCCCTACTTAAAACACTCTCTTTAAATCCATCCCCCTAATTCACTTTATTTCCCCCACACTTGGAGCACTCCCTTTAAATCCATTCCCCCTAATTCACTTTATTTCCCCCACACTTGGAGCACTCCCTTTAAATACATTCCCCCTAATTCACTTTATTTCCCCCACACTTGGAGCACTCCCTTTAAATCCATCCCCCCAATTCACTTTATTTCCCCCATACTTGGTGCACTCCCCTTAAATCCATTCCCCTAATTCCCAGTCACTTTGGAATCCTGTCAGGATTTTACCAAGGGAAAAAAAAAAAAGAGATTATTTGTAATATCTAACCCCCCTTGTTGTTATTGTTATTTTAAAGCAGTTCCTTTGCTGATGTAACAGGTTGGTTTGCTCCTGAGCCACGTTTTTTTGAGATTTTTCAGCTCAGAAGTTTAAAAAATAAACGTACAGGATGTTTCCTGCCCATAGCTGAGAAACCACTACCCTTGGCTTTGCCATATGACTTACTGAGAGTGGAAGTTAAATAAAGAGAAATGCAGGATTGGGCCTGAATTTCACTCTGATTCAGGGAGCCACTCCAAAGCCCACAGACGATTTTGTTCCTCCTTTGAAGGTTTCACCTTCACAAAAGGTTTTCTCAGTCCCAGTCCCTCCAGGTTTACAGGCCATTTTATACTGGAAGCCTTTGATGTCCTGTGTGCTTTTTTTTTTTCATGGGCTTCAAGTGTGGAGAATGACTAAAAGAAAGGCTAAATCTTGGAATCACTTAAATATCTCCTAATGATGAAGTGATACTTCCTTTTCTCTTCTCTCTTTTTTTTTTTTAATTTTAAATTCTTTGGGTTTTTTTTCTGGTTTTGGAGCTGGCTTGGAGTTTAAAAATTGAGCTGGAAGAGAAAACATCAGGGCTGGGCAGCAGGAGGTGATCAGGGAGGACAACGGGGTGACCACAGCTTGTGTGTGAGCCTCTCCCAGGGTGTGAGAGGCTGCTCCAGGGATCCCACATCCCTGCTTTCCGAGGGGAAGGGAGGGAGGATGGGGTGGTGAGATGGGATCCCACATCCCTGCTTTCTGAGGGGAAGGGAGGGGAGATTGGGGTGGTGAGATGGGATCCCACATCCCTGCTTTCTGAGGGGAAGGAAGATGGGGTGGTGAGATGGGATCCCACATCCCTGATTTCCAAGGGGAAGGGAGGGAAGAAGGGGTGGTGAGATGGGATCCCACATCCCTGCTGTCTGAGGGGAAGGGAGGGAAGGTGAGATGGTGAGATGGGATCCCACATCCATGCTTTGAGGGGAAGGGATGGGGTGGTGAGATGGGATCCCACATCCCTGCTTTCTGAGGGGAAGGGAGGGAAGATGGGGTGGTGAGATGGGATCCCACATCCCTGCTTTCTGAGGGGAAGGGAGGGAAGAAGGGGTGGTGAGATGGGATCCCCCGGGAGAGGCAGCTCAGCAGGGTCAGCCCAGCTCTGCCTTTCCCTCCTGGGAAGTCTCCCTGGGCAGATTCCCTGCGTGTTCCCGTGGCTCAGGAGGCCTCGTGTCCCTGCTCCTGTGGCAGATCCATCCCCAAGGGTCATCCTGGGAGCCTGGGGCTGTGGGAACGCGGCGGGATGGAGCTTTCATCTGCTGCTCTCTGCTGCTCCCAAGCCTCCAAGAAAAAGCTGTTTTGTTTTCCTGCCTGCTCTCCAGCTGTGCCTGAGCACTGGGAGGGCTCTCCCTGAGCCATCCCTGCCCACCCCAACAGGCAGGAGCAGTTGCAGTGCCCGGTTCTTTCAACAGCAGGAGAAGAACCAGCCCTGGCTCCTCTCCTTTCCAGGGTTTAGGCTCTTTCTCACTGATTTGGTCTCCCAAAAACCCCAACCCTCCCGTGTTGGGATGTGGGCCATGATCTTGTGAGGTGGTTGGTCCCTTCCATTGTAACAAGGGATGGAAAAATCGAGGAGACTTTGGCATTTGTGTCTGAATTACCTCAAACTTGGGATTACATCCACCTTCTCCACGTCTTCCCTGCTGTTTGTGCCTCCTCCCCTGTAGGAGCACAGCATCCATCCTGCCAGGTCCAGCCTGACCTCCAGCACTTGGACCCTTCTCCAGGGATGTCACTGTGACTGTCCCGTGCTCTGCTCTGGGCTGGTTTAATCCCAGGTTTTGTTGTCTCCCCTTGGCACAGCCAGGCCTCCTCCTTGCTCTCTTCTTCCCTGTGGATGTGGGGCAGTGGTTGATCACTAATACTTGCCTGGCAGAAAACTGCTGTGGGGACAAAGTGTGCTGTGTGTTGATGGGGCTGATGGGTGGTTTGGCTGTCAGGGAGCTCAGGGGAGCTGCTGTGAGATGTGCCTGCAGCACAGCTTCCATCTGAGGTATTCCTGAGCCCTGGAGCTGCACATGTGCACCACCACCACCTCCATCCCTTCCCCTTATTGCAACCAGCTGTGGTCTGACTTTGTCAGAGATCTGATAGAGCTCCCTTACCCCTCTTCCCACTCCCTCCACAACCTCCCATTAGTCATAGTTGGGCTGTGCATGAATTGAGATGGTGATAAAGCTCTGATCCCAGACACCAGAGTCGTTCCTGGAGACTCCAGAGTCGTTCCTGGGGGCCCCAGAGTCGTTCCTAGGGACTCTGTGCTGGGCTGTGAAGACTCTGTGTTAACCCCTCGGTGCCTTCAGGCAGGATTTCCCAATGCCCACGAGCCATCCATCATCTTGGGGCTGACAGAGCTCTTTTGCCTTGAGTAGGGATGGATTTATGGCTGTGATGTGCTAGAGATGAAATGGGCTTTTTTTTTTTGGAAGACAGTGCTTGTGTTAAGGCCATTTGTGCAGACCTGGGGGTTCTCTGTATCCCACTGGTAAAGCAAAGGGAATGTTATTTTTCTCCTTGTTGTTCGTTCTACTTAAGCTAAAGATTAACTTTGGCAGAGTGACAAGGGGCTTTGTAGTGGCCAAGAAACAGTTCAGTCTGGAAGTTAACAGAAGGTTTCTGACCACTGGGGAGGAGGAGATCATGGAACAGGAATTGGATGATTTTTTAAAGAACAGGTCAGTTGATTGTCTGGTTATATTTGGGTTGCTTTTCCCAATGGTGGCCAAAAAGCACATCCTTGATGTGATGCCAGACAACAGGCAAATGTCAAAGCTTTCAGTCATAGCATGGATTTCTCTGCTGGGCAGGGAGTGGACAGAGACCACCAGCCACTCCTGAAGCCCTGAGCTGATCAAAGCTGCAGCTGCACTGCCAGTACCTCAGCAAATATGTGCACATCGTGTCCTTCCCTTGGCTGGGGTGCTGCTTCCAGGGCCAACACAGACCTTTTGGGAAGGCAGAAATATCCTGACCTGGCACACAGTCTCCTTTGCAAAAGGAGGAGGGGGTGGGCAGAGAGAGAAGGGATGATTTTGGGTCGTCTCTTGGCTTTCCACAGTGTTTGCAGAGTTCAGACATCAGAGGTGTCCTCACAGCACTGGAGCTCGTGGCTGTTCAGGAGGGTTGTGCTGGTTTTGCAGCAGGGTGAGAGCTCCTGGTGTAAATCCAGTTCCTAAGGCAGCACAAAACCAGTAAATCTTGGCTGTTGTGTCTGTGTGGGGGTGAAGCAGAGCTTTGTTCTCCACTGAGAGCCAGTAGGACCCAGGGCTGTGTCTCTTCCCCCAGCTGTGATTTAGAGCTGCTGAGCTGATGGCAGCCCTGATACTCACCACGAAGTTAAAAATAACCCCCTCGAGTTTCTCTGCTGATAATTGAAGCATTCTTTTATTTTTTTTGGTGTGTGTTTTGATGTAGAATCAGGCCAGGTCCTCTCCTCCTCCCCAGCAGTGACCCCTGAAGTCCCACAGGCTTTTCCTGCTCTCCCAGCAGCAGTTCAGGATTGGAGATGCTGACTTGCTTGTTTTGTTTCACCGTGTCTGGAGGAGATTTTAGAGATCCCACATGCTCAGATGAAAACCAGGAACACTAAACCTTCAGATCCAGGTCTCTGGTGTCACCCTTTGGGGCTGCTCTGCCTCTGAGCCCTGTTGCTGCTGGACCTGAGGTGTTGGGCTGGAGTGAGGAGCAAACTGAGCAGATGCAGAGGCAGCAGGACCTTTGTTGCTTCCAGAAGATGCCTCTCCAACCAGGACAAACTGTTGGTCCTGCTCCTTCCAAAACAAAACACACAAACAAAAATCACAACCTTCAAATAAACAACCAAAAGTTGCTTTTTCTAAAGATCTGGGAATGGGAAAGAAATCACAGGAACTTGATAAGCATGAGCTTTAATAAGCTCTGGGCACCCCAGGTCATTGAAAACAGTATCCAAAGTCCTAAAAAAGTGAACAAGAGACATTTTTCCATTGTTCCAGGTGATTCAAACTGGTCTAAGTTTCATGACATCAACACGAGACAGTTGTTTGCAGCTCTTTCTGGTCCAATTTCCAAGTTCCAAGTTGGGATTTTCCTTCCTGGAAGGTGCTCCTGGTGGGGTTGTGCAGCACCATTTGCACTAAAGAGGCTGTAGTAACAACTCTCCCCTTCAGCTGCTGCTCCAGAATTTTCCTGGCTGCATCTCCTGCTTCAGAAACCAGTCAGAAATCTCAAACTCAAACGTTTTAAGGGGAAGGGGGTGGATGTCTTGTTCTCATGCCAACCTCTGCACAGCATGAGCATCTCAGGTACCCAGGGAAGCTTCTGTGCCAGTCATTTACCAGTGCTTTGGTTGTTTTTCCCAGTTGACCACGTGGTTCCCGAGCCAGGGACCAGTTTGCTGACAGCATTTGACCAGTGGAGAGAATGGGCAGACAGCAAATCCTGCTGTGACTACTCCCTGCACGTGGATATCACTGAGTGGCATAAAGGTGTCCAGGAGGAGATGGAAGCTCTGGTTAAAGATCATGGTAAGTTCAGGGAAGCCTTTCCCCTCCTTGTTTTATTTTTCACGTGAAGGATTTTACTCTTATACCCCGAGAAAGGGGTTTCAGGCTCATTCTGGCTCCTTGTGAAGGTCTGGGCAGTTGGTATTGCAGGGCAGGGATTGATTTTCCAGGGGTGATTCTGTGTCCAGTGCAGGCCCTTGGAGCTCATTAGTGCAGGGAGCTGATAATTGCAGCCTTTTAAACTGTTATGAACAAGGGAAGTTCAGGCCCAGAAGGAACAATCCAAGTCTGGCTGCTGAAAGTGAAAAGCAGAGTAAAATGACCTCAGAGGTTCTCCCCCTCTTTAATTTCCTCAGTGTTTCACCCGTGGGCTGGAGGAATTTTCCATCCTGTTTGTAGTTTAAAAACCCAGCATTTCACGTCCTAGTGAGTGCTCTGCACATGGTGCTGGGTCACAGTTTTTACTGGTTCTGGAGGCAGGAGGGGTAAAGTTGACTCAGGAGCACTCCCTGTGTCTGAGGCAGCACAAACACATCACCCCCAGCTTTCCCACTGCCCTCCTGGAGGGAGAGAGGGATCAGCCAGGCCCAGCCTCTGCTTTTGTGTGTGATGTGTTTGGGCTGTATTTTTCCTCCTGCAGTGCTGAATCCACAGGAATATTCTCATTTCTGAGGTTTAGTTGTCCCCATGGCTGGGACATGGGCTCACCCTGGTGTTAACACATGGGTGCTGTGACCTGGCTGCACACACCTCTGTGCACATTTCCCAGCAGATTAAAGTCATTTATTTGTCCCACTGCTGCTTGCTGGGGGGCTGCTGGAGGGGCTGTGTTTTTTAGCATTACCTGTGCTCTCTCTTCTCCCAGGTGTGAACTCCTTCTTGGTGTACATGGCTTTCAAAGATCGCTTCCAGCTCAGTGACTCTCAGGTAGGAAGGCTTGCTGTTCAATGCTTCTGTCACTGCAGGCACATAAAAGTGTTTAAATTCGATATACTTGGACCTGACATTCTCTTCTGGCTCCAGTCTTTATGTGTGTGTAACAGAACCTGAGGTTTGCAACAGGACCCAGAGCTCTGGTTGGGAGATTATATTTTTAATTAAAAATGAAAGCCAACCAGCAACGAACCCTGAAAGGCTTGGCTGGGGAAAGCAACAGCAAACCCCTCATTTTGAGAAGTCTGAGGTTTTATTCCAGCTCCCTTGGGGTGGAAGCAGTGGCAGTTTTATGAATTGCTGCTTTATGCCTCTGCCCAGAGCAGGACAGTGAGACCTCTGGGTTAATTAATCTGTTTATGAGCTGAAACCCAGCCGGGTCCTGAGATGCTTCCTGCTGTTGGAATTGCTGGGACCTTAAAAAGGAATTCCCCTCCTGTTTGCTGGTCCTGTGGGCACATTTGGGCACATCTGGACTGTCAGGAGGGGCAGTTGATATTCCTAAAGCTGTGGGAGGAGAGGAATGCCCGGGAGTTGTTTGGAGCAGTGTAGGAGGTGCTGGAGTGTCACAGTTATCTCTGATGACTCTGGAAACATTTTAATGAGGGCCCATTGACGGCGCCAGTTGTGGGTCACTCGACCTCAGCCCTCTCCAAGTGGTTGCTGGAGTGGGAAATCACACTGCTCCTACCTCCAGACATTGGATTTTCATGGAGTAACTGCACCCAGCCCTCAAATGTAAGGGGTGTTCTTCATGCCAGGCCCCAGGAAATGAAGGCACGAAACAGCTACAACTCTGGGAGTTCTTTAAAATCACTCCAGCTCTGGGCTCTTTTGCTGTTGTCATTTCTTCCTCCAGCGTGGTAAATATTCCAAACCCATTGAACAGCCCTTCTCTGCCACATCAGTAACATCCAGCTGTACAAATTAGGGAATGAAGTGACAGGCAGGAAGACGGGTCGTGTCCGGCAAACTGCGTCTTCCATTTCTTAACGCTCCCCCTTCCCTTCAAATCTGCAAAGCCCTGTTTGCTGGAGCAGCCTGGGGCCCAGCCTTTCCTGTGGGAGTGTTCCCACTGGGATAACGTGTGTTCCCTGTCTCCCAGATCTACGAGGTCCTGAGTGTGATCCGGGATATTGGCGCGACAGCCCAAGTGCACGCCGAGAACGGTGACATCATTGCCGAGGTATGGCCTGTTTGTTCTGGGCATTATTCCCTCCCAAATGCTGGGAGGGCTTGAAATTCCCATTCCTTCTTTGCAAAAGGGAGTCACCTCGACTGGTAAAAGCGTGGCAGAGCTGTGGCAGGGCTGGGAGCAGAGCTGGACAGCACATTTTATACATTTTGTACCCCTTGTCACTGAGGAAGGAGGTTTTTGTGGCAGCTTTTGGTTCGTGGTGATGTGGGACATCTCTGCCTTTTTCACTAAAAGTAAAAAACTGGGTGTGACTCTCACTGTGTGCAATAAATAAAAAGCTCTGCAGTAAATAAGAGTAGTGGGAAGGGATAAAGCTGGGGTGCTGATGTTTGGGGTCTGTTCATCCTCCAAACAGCAGCAAAGAAGAAATGGTAATAATTATTTGGATTTAACTTGATCTGCAGCTCATTTTATACACTGTGTTTCAAGCATGCAGAGGATTTCTGTGTTGTCTGTGTAGAAAAGAGCCCACCTGAGTCTTTAAGCCTCTTGCTTTCGGTTCGTGGTGATGTGGGACATCTCTGCCTTTTTCACTAAAAGTAAAAAACTGGGTGTGACTCTCACTGTGTGCAATAAATAAAAAGCTCTGCAGTAAATAAGAGGAGTGGGAAGGGATAAAGCTTCACACAGTACCTGGGGTGCTGATGTTTGGGGTCTGTTCATCCTCCAGACAGCAGCAAAGAAATGTCAATAATTATTTGGATTTAACCTGACCTGCAGCTCATTTTATATGCTGTGTTTCAGGCATGCAGAGGATTTCTGTGTTGTCTGACTAGCAAAGAGCCCACCTGAGTCTCTGAGCTCAGTTGTCTGCAGTTGCAGGATGATTTTTTCCTGAGAGATCATTTTGCCACCTCTCAGAGATGGTTTTATAGACGCAAATGAGAACTGAAAGTCGAGGGGCTGTGAACCCAGTGCGAAGCAAATCCAGATAAAAGGTTTCCTTGACCTCCTGTGAACAAATCAGCAAGGGCTTTGGGAGCTCTGGTTCTTGTCAGCAAGGGAAGTTGGACAGGACTCTGTTTGCAGGGCCCTGATGTGATTCTCACCCAGCACAGATGCTGAGGAGCTCACTTGTACCCCTTCCCAACAGCTGTGTGTGCTGCAAGAAAAATTGCTGCTGCCTTAAATCTCTTTCCTGCTCTTTTTTTTCCCCCTCTCTGCTTTAGGAGCAGCAAAGGATCCTGGAACTGGGAATCACAGGCCCTGAAGGGCACGTGCTGAGCAGACCTGAGGAGGTGAGGACTTCCCTGCCTTTGCATTTCCCCCCCCAGTTTATAACATCTTCACATTGCCATCAAGTGCTTCCTGCTGGGGTGAATGTGGCTGGAAACAGGATTTCATCCTGACTGTGAATGTTGCTGCTGCAAGGGGTGAGGGAAGAGGCTGAGACACTTCCAGGGATTAACCTGGAAAAAGCTCCTCCCTTTCTGTTAATTATTGGAGATAATCTCTGAAGGCTCTGATCACCCATCAGGTGCCTAAAACGAGGTGAGATGTGTTTGAGCCACAGAGCCCACCATAAACACTGAGAGTGGAGGCAGCTGGTGGGACTGGGCACATTCCAGACTGGAATCCTGCTCTGGGAGCTGTAGGGAATGTTCAACCTGAAGCACAGGTTTACCTGAATCACCAGTTCCTCGGTTCAGCTGCTGCTCAGGAACACTTTAAAATGGAATCCCTGCAGAATGCCACGTTCTGATTGATGATGTGGGTTTTTGGGGAGCTAAACCCTGAAGTTTTTCTAGTTTCCCCTCACTTCCAGTCGAGTTTTGAGTGATTAAAGACTCCTGAATTTGGGGTTGTGTTGGCAAGATTCTGCCACTGACTTTTCTAGATCCAATCTCTTGGGTTTCTCTCTTGGTCCTTATTTTATCAGACTTGCAGTGAATCAGCAGGATTTTTTAATGTATGCCCAAATCCTGACATTATCTTGGGCACTTGCATCGCTTCAATTCCTGTAATATTTGTTATTTTGATGAAATTTTCACCAAGGGTGGATTTTTTTTTTGTACACCAAGGGATTAAATGCTTTGCTGAAGGCACAGAAAGGGAAGATAATGCTCAAGTCTCAGCCCACTGCTTTTAATAGACTAAACCTTCATATTTCCCCATTGATTTCTCTAGGGGGGAGCACCCCAATCCCTCCAAGTCTTTGAAATAAACCTCAAGGGTAAGAAAGAGCCTTGAAACTTTGCCTTTGAGGCTTGGTTCCCATTGCATTCTTCCTTCCCAGTGGTTCAGTGGCTCTGGGCTGGACACCTCACCGTGGCATTCCTGGTTTGTGGAGCCCATGTGTTCTGTACAAGCAGTTCTTTTTGTTCCTCCACGTTCCTGGGGCTTTGCTGCCTGCCAGATGTGGCAGCTGGGAGCTGGGGGGGTGAGATCATCCAGCCACACGTGCCCCTCATGCTCCTGCTCTCCTTCCTCCCCTCACTTCAGACAAGCAGCATCCAGAGGCGTTTCAGTGGGAATATAAATCATTTTTTGGGGGGAAAATGCTTAACTTGGACGGCAATTCCTCACAGAATTTGTGTGGGATCTTTTGCTTCCTGAATTTGTGAGTGAACACTTGCACTGAGCTTTCCAGTCACCCATCCCTGCATTTTTTTTTTTAATTTAATGTGTTTTTTGGCTTGCACCAGGAGAGTGGGAGCAGATGCTGATATGACACTTGGGGCTCATCTGTGGAGCACCCCTAAAGTTGTGCTGGCTCCAAAGGAAGGCTGCTCCTGCCTTCAATAATCTGGATATCAAGCTAGCCAAGCCGTGTCTGGCTGCTTCAAAGCTCATCCTTTGTGGAGCAGGAGCTGTAAAGTGGGAGCTGTGTGTTCCCCTGGCTGGTTGATGTGGGCAGAGCTCTGCTCTCCCCCAGCACAGCTGAAAGCTGCCCCAGGACACGTGGCTGCCCCAGCTGAGGAGCAGAAAAGCCTCTCCCTGCTGTCCCTCAGTGCAGCTGAGCTCAGCTGTGCTCTGCCCAGAGCTGGGAAGCATTTGATCCAAAATTCTCCTCCTTGGAAGTCAGAGGAAGCAGGGCAGGAAACGATGTCATCTGGTTCCCTCCCTCCAAGGTGGGAGTGACTCTGTGCTTTTGAAAACATCCAGCTCCCTCCAGGCTGGCTGGTGATAGAGCCCAGATTCCAAGGGTGGCAGCACATCCCTAATTCCTGTTGACTTCACAGGAGTGGATGTTTGCTGTGTCCCTCTGGGGTGCTGTTGACACTAGAATTGGCTTGTCATGCTGCCCCTCAGGGGATGTAAAGCCCATCCTGAGCATTCAGTGATGATTGTCATCTGGCTGAAGAGCTGCTTAACTCAGACTCCATCTACACCAAGCTAGCAGGAGTCGTTGAGCAAGTCTGAAATATTTGTGATTAAATCAAAACTCCCACTCATTTCAGCAGGAATTACAGCAGAGTGAGGCAGCCAGGCTCTGGCCATGTGTGTTTGTGTCTTGGAGCGTGCACATCTGCATTCCCAGCCTGGCAGGAGTCACTGAGTTAAGGTTTAGGTGTCCCTGCTGACTCAGGTTTAGCTCACCTCACTCCCCTGGGTTGAGCCAAGGTGAACAAGGTTCAGCACCTTGTTCCAGCCACCAAGCAGAGCCTGAATTAAAACCCCACCATCCCAAGTCAGCCTCAGCCATCCCTTTCTGGAGAACTCTCCCCCTCACAGCTCAGTTCACTCTCTGATGACTTCTCCATCATTTTTTTGTTTTTATTTTAGCCACAAAAACGCTGGAAGCACAAGCAGGCCAAGTGCTCCAGGAAATGTCTGTCTTTTTCTTTTCCTTTTTTTTTTTTCCCCCAATCCAAGAGAACTGCTGTGCTAGGGCTTCTGCTGCATCCTGGTAATTGCAAACATTCCCCTTTGGACTAGTCCTTGGGTTATTGTTATGTGCCTGTCACCATAGCATCTGGGCACAAGGCAGGAATTCAGCAGCCTTGTTCTCTTCTGTGCACAGAATATTCTCCTGCTGCTTTGCAGTTTGGTCAAAAATCTGAGGGGAGTGTTGTTTTATCCCACTGCTTTACATGGGGGGGAAAACTGAGGCACCAGAGTAGAGATGTGACTTCCAGGAGCTGCTTTAATGGGCAGTTTGGTAACAGATGCCACAGCCTGGAAGCCCTGGCCTGGCTGAGTCCCCTCCTTGTCTCTCAGAAGGGACAACTGTGCTTTTCTTGGCTCTGCTTTCAGCCCCTGAGTGCTCCTGGCTGCGACACCCTGAGTCAAACCTCCTGGAACAAACGCCCTCCCTCACAGCCTTTTCCATTTGCCTGGGGCAGCTGGGCCTGAAAATATCCCCCTGTGTGTCCCCCCCTGCCTGGGGGGGTCAGTCACAGAGGCTGGCAGGGCACAGGCTGGGGCTGGGTAACCCTTGGGGCACCAGAGCCCACCAGGATGGCTCGGGGGGGGCTGCTCTGCTTTTAAAAGCTCCCAGCTGTTGTGCTGGTGGGGTTTTTTGAGCAGTCCAGCTGCAGACAGGGTGAGTGGTGGCTTTGTCAGGGTGAGCAGAGCTGTGCTGGACACTTGGCCATCAGTGTGGTCCATGCACAGCCCCCTGATCTGGGGGTTCTTTTCCAGGGGATTCTTTCCCTCAAGCACAGCGTTAGGAGCCAGCAGCCACACAGTCATGGAATGGTTTGGGATGGAAGGGACCTTAAAGCTCACCCAGTGCCACCCCCTTCAGTGGGCAGGGACACCTTCCACTGTCCCAGGTTGCTCCAAGCCCCGTCCAAGCTGGCCTTGGACACTGTCAGGGATGGGGAGTCCACAACCACTCTGGGCAGCCTGTTCTGATTCTGGGACTGATGAGGAGGATTTGTGGTGCTTGGGCTGCAGTAAGTCACTGCAGAGCAGATTTTCACAAGTGCTGGGTGTGTTCCAGCCCCTCCAGAGCCCATGGGAGGTGCTGGGAGCCTCTTGCACTTGGGAGTCAGGTGGTGGATTGCTCTGGGTTTGTTCACTCCGTTGTTTGCTTGGAAAATGTCCGTGGGATTGCAGGCTCTGCTCTCCATGGCACTGTGAGCATCACCCTGCTGTTAAATCCCTCGTCTGGATCCTTTGATTAGGGGGTGTGACCCATAAAAACCTGCAGGGTGATGCTGATCATCCCGAGGCTGCAGTTCCAACGTGCCCCTCAGTTCTGCTGAGGTCAATCCCTGTGCCCATGGAAAAGGAAAAGGAGCTGATTTATGGGGTGGTTCACACTCTGTCAGATCCCAAGCCAGAGATTGCAGTGGAAGGTACAATTTAGGAGGCTTGTTTGCAAACGTGGCTCACCAGGGTGTGTGGTGCAGCATCTCCCTCCTGGGGGGGCTGGGCCATGAGTAGCTCTGTTGAGTCAACATTTAGTTGCTTATTTTTGTCTGGGTTAAAGAAGGGGCTTAATCACTCTGACCCAGAGCAACTGGAGTGTTGGTTTAGCTCAGACTCTGCCTGCTGGCAGAGAAACTCTGGAGCAGCCTGGGAGAAAAGGTGCTGATGAGAGGGGACTGCAGCTTGATGTCGTTTAGTTGCCGTGGTTACACTGTAAATTGGAATTTGCAGAGCTGGAGAGGTGGGAAGTGCCTCATCTTGGCCCTGCACGCTCTGCTGTGACCCTGTGAGGGTGCCTGGGCTGTCCCTAACCTGCCTTTGTTCCTCAGGTGGAGGCAGAGGCTGTGAACAGGGCAATCACCATCGCCAACCAGACCAACTGCCCCCTCTACATCACCAAGGTGATGAGCAAAAGCGCCGCTGATGTCATTGCTCAGGCCAGGAAAAAGGGTGAGTTGTTTCCCTCTGAGCTCATGCACTTCAGCTCCCTGCCAGCATCAGCTCCAGCCCCACAGGAAAGGTTTCTTTTTCCAGTGTTATCATCCAGGCTCTGTTTTAAAAGGTCCCAAGCAACTGCTTCTGTCTCATCTCCCACAGACGAGTGCTCAGTGGTCCTGTCAGAGCCAGGAGCTGTTTCTTCTGTTCATCCTGAGCCTCTCTGTTCACACTCACCCTCCCATACTGAGCTGCCTTGTTATCCAGAGTCATTCCATGCTGTCTCCATTTACTGACTCCCCTTGGAGACTGCAACTTCCAGCTGCTGTGCTTTTTCCTTGGTGCTTTCTGCTGATCTTCCCGGGGTCAGAAGTGGTTCCAGGAGCCCTGACAGGGATGTTGACTCACTAGCCCTGTTGGATTTAGTTGGAGTAGCCAAAGTCCCTGACTCCAGCTGCCCACTGTGCTTGTGGAATAGATCCTGCTCGTGTGCTGGAGCTCTCAGCCTGACATCCAGGCAGGAATTGGGATCAGGGGGCTGGCTCAGGCTGGGAAGTGCAATCCCCTCTGATAACTCTGCAACATTCAGAGCTGCAGTGGGTGCTGCTGCCTCGTGTCTCTCCTCTCTGGGTGAGATTTGGGAGGGAGCTGAGCTGCTCTGAGTGGTGCAGGAGCCCTGTCCCTGCTACCCTGCCCTCGAGGAGGGAGGATTCCCCCCAGTGAGTGCCTGTCTCCTGCTTTATCCTGTGACTAAACCCTTCATTTCTATTTAAAGCAGCTCTGGGTGGGTGAGTAAGCAGGAGGGATGATTTGCCCCCCTCTTTCCTCCCAAGGCTTGGATTTGATTTTATGCACTCCAAATAAGCCTGGATGGATACACAAATGACATCACTTTCCATCTGGGTGTTTGGTGTGAGAAGAGCTGGTTTCCTACTGCAGCAAACAGATTTGTGTCTGGGCATTGGCTCAGGAGGATTTTGGTCCCCTGATTCCTGTGAAGTGAGTTCTGGGGAGGAGGACTGGTTCCCAAGGCATCTCTTTCTGTTTGTGGTGTGGAAGCAACTCGAGCTCTTTGGGATGAACCTTCCTCTCCCAGCTCCACTGGTGGGGATGGTGCTGAAGGAGGATGTGTTGACACAGCAAAGTGGCTGAAGGTTGGATCACCCCAGAAAACAACTGCTGTCGTTGTGCAGCTGAATCCTGTGAGCCAGGGGAGCATCCCTTCCCTTTTCCAGATAAAACACTGGAGGCATAGGCACCATGGAGGGGGAGCATCACAAAAAATCACCTTCTTGGTGCTGACCCCTGACCAGCTACCAGTAGAGTGGGGCATTGGGATGAGGTCACAGAAGCCATAAAACACAACCTGGCTCAGCTGGATGTTGTCCTGCCTGTGAAAGGTGCTGGGATTCTCCCAGATGAATGACCCACAGGACTCACTTCACTCAGACTCCTGAGCTAGAACACAAAGTTCTCCTTCAAATTGTGTTTTCTCCTTATAAGGAGAAATTGGGGTATAGATGGTGCACCATTCTCTGTTCCTTTATTTAAATAATTCAATTTAAATGCTGTGCAGTAGCCCAGGAGGGCCACACACACAAGCCTTGCCCTCCCAGGCAACAGAGGAAACATAACTGAAGACTGTCCAAGGCGAAAACAAGCCAGAATTGATTTGCTGAATGGAAAAGAACGAATGTTATTTAAAGCCAGATGTTCCCAGTGGCATTTGTATGGAGGAGATTCCCTGCAGACTCTGTTGCTGGCAGATCTGGGAGCTCCAAACATCACTCCCTGCAGAACAATCCCCCCAATGTCCTGGCCCACAACAGGCCTGCCGTTAATAGCCAGCGTGTGTTTTGCTTTATTCTGATTTCAGAACCCTATTTGTGGCCAGTGATGTCAGAAAAGCCTCTTCCTCTGCTGCTGGAAACCCTCTGACAAAGGCTGTTCCTGCACCTCCTGTGTCAGTGGGGCCCTGGCAGCAGCATGAAGCCAGTTCATCATTTTGCCTCAGCTAATGGACTCTTTCCCAGCTAGTTTAAGACCTCACAGACATAACAGTAGCTCTGGCAGTGCAGTGTAATAAATATATGTGTATTTTCACTCTGCATGGAGAGGTGTGAGACCCCAGTTCTGGGCTTGCCTTTGCCCATCTTCTCTGCCTGAAGGATTCAGGGTTGGTGTCTGCCCTGCCCACATCTCCTGCAGGCAGCTCCAGGCACGTGGAGAGCTCAGCAGGCAGGTGGGTGGGCACAGGACGGATCTGGGGAGGGTTGCATTTGGTGAGCAGACCCCTGGGGCTGCCAGCTCGTGCTGCTTTTGAAGTTGCAGCATCTTGCATGTGCTTGGTGTGCAGATGGTGCATTCCAGAGGGTCCTGGCCTCGAGGGCTCTTCCTTCATGTGGTTCCCAAAGCATCAGTGAGCAGGAAGGATGCACTGGTGGGGAGGGCACTGGGCAGGGTCACAAGATCCAGTTTCATTTCCTAGTTGTGCCACAGGTTTACTGTGAGGGAATCACTCGGTTCCCAGAGCTGCATTTGTGAACCAGGAGCACCAATATTTCCCCTCTGCACACAGGAAACTTTCCTGAGAGGAGTTCTCTATGCACAGACCCTGCTCCAAGAAACCCAGCCTTGTTAGAAGGTCTTTTGTACATAGGAATTTATAAAAGTGTTGCAGGCTTATTTTTTTCATTCTTTTTCTTCCACATCTCTTCTAGATCAGACTGGATCTCCTCATGCCCTTACAGTTCCCCTCAGCCTCTTTCATAACATTCTTGGTCCAGGATAAACAAATAAATAAATATAAACAGTAAAATGAATCTTTACACTAACCCTTTCAAGCCAAATTAATCAGTGCCAATCTTAGCAGTTGTGTAAAGGTTTGTGCACATGTTGCTGCTCCAGGCTCTGATCAGGAGCAGTTTCTTTATTATTATCTTTATGATTACTTCCAACCCTGCAGCTTGTGGTGGTGGCACAGCCTACCCATCCTCAGGAGGATGCTTTTTGCCTGGATCCAGGCTGGAGATGCCCCTTCCTTGGTGCTCACAGTGGGTTTGTGTGTGTCCCTGTCCTGTAGGCACTGTGGTGTATGGAGAGCCCATCACAGCCAGCTTGGGGACTGATGGATCCCATTACTGGAGCAAGAACTGGGCAAAGGCAGCAGCTTTTGTTACATCCCCACCACTGAGTCCTGACCCAACCACTCCTGATTTTCTCAACTCACTACTGTCCTGGTGAGTAGAGCTCTCTGTGTTCATCCAGCTGGGAGACAAGAGGGTGAGAAAACAGCTGTTGTTACCAACAAGCAAAAAGCTGTTTTGCCTGTAGGAGTAAACCTGTGACAATAAAATGTCTCTATCCTTTCCAGTGGAGACCTCCAAGTGACTGGCAGTGCCCACTGCACCTTCAACACTGCTCAGAAAGCTGTTGGGAAGGACAACTTCACCCTGATCCCCGAGGGAACCAATGGGACTGAAGAGAGGATGTCCATCATCTGGGATAAGGCCGTGGTATGTCACCCATGTCACCCATGTCACCTGTGTCACGGGTTCAGAGGTTGTTGTGATCTCCCCCAGACGCTCGTTACGGTCCTTCTGCTGAGTTTTTCCCCTCCTTTTTTTTGGAGTGGTCCTCACCTTGCTCATGCAGTGGCTCCTCTGCTCTTTCCCCAGGTGACTGGCAAGATGGATGAGAACCAGTTTGTGGCTGTGACCAGCACAAATGCAGCCAAAATCTTCAACCTGTACCCGCGGAAGGGGCGCATCGCCGTGGGCTCCGACGCCGACCTGGTCATCTGGGACCCCGACAGTGTCAAGACAATCTCTGCCAAGACCCACAACATAGTAAGGACACCTCCTGCACTGTCCTGCTGCTCCTTTCCTCCCCTCTTCTTCAGTGCCAGGCTGTGCTGCCAGAAACTAGAGCTTGTGACAGCTCAGGGCTTGTTCTCTCCGTGCCCTGAACCCTCTCTGCTCTCACACTCAGTGGCTCGGTTATGTGGAGCAGAGTGAGCCCAAATGTGAAATCACATGAATACCCAGAGATTCCCCTGGAGCAAAGGGCTTGTCTGCTCTTTCTGAGCGTTGGATGCTTGGATCTGAGCACACAGAAAGCTCTTTAAATCTTCTAAGATGTCAGAAGGCCTCTTAGGACAGTGTGTTGTTTGTGACCTCCAGGCTCTCTAGCAGTGGGAAAGGGAGTTTTTTCCTTTCCTAAAAAAAAACAAAAACCTTTTCTAGTTGGGGGTCAGGGAAGGTTTGTCAGCTCATGGCCACCTTTGCTGGAGATCTGACCCAGACCCAGTGTCTGAGTGGGTTCACACCATGTCCTGCTGAGTGGAGTCATGACTTCACAGGTTAGTTGGCACAGGGAGGTCCAAGGCAGCACCCAAACTAACCAGACCTTCCCCTTGGTTCTTCTGCAGCTTTGTGGTGGCACTTAGAGGCACAATTTGCTGTGTCCACACCTCATACCTGGCCCCTGGAGTGCAAAAGCTGTCCCAGGCTGTGGGAATCCACAGAGCATTCCCAGTGCAAAGGCCTGGTTGGAGTCTCCCCGTGACATTGGAGCCCTGGCTCAGAGAAAGCAGCCACTGTTTGCATTTGTTGACAACTTGTTTCCCTGCTGGCCATGAACCTATGGAATGTTTCCCTGGAAAAAACCTCCTTGTTCTTTTTTCCCCGTGAATGCTTTCATTCACTCTGGAGCTAAAGGAGCAACATTTTCTTCCACACTTTGGGTCCCTGGGCACATTCACAAAGAAACTTTTTTTTGTTGGTTTTTTTTTTTTTTTTAAAGGTTTGGTTCACTTCCCTGTGACTGAACTCGGTGTCAGAATTGGTCACAGATGGCCTGGCTTCATCCTGCCTCTGCTTAGGCTTCTGACAGGAATTCCAGGGGTCTGGTCACTTCAGACACCTCAGAGGTGCTTCCAGACTCCTTCCAGTCTGGAGAGGAATGACTTAGAGAGGAGGGAGCCCAGGCAGTCACTGCTTTTAGGTGCCAAATTTAGTGCTCTGAGCCTGGTTTTGTGCTTAGGAATGGCTCAGAGAGTAGCTGGGTGGGTGGAGTGTTTGAAAATCCTTGCTCTTTAATGGCTGTTGTCTTTGGGGAATGACCTGAGCTGTTCACATCTCCCAACACAGAACTCAGAGACTTTCTCTCCTGTGGATGTGCCCCTCTGCAATCACTCTGTGATTTAGACACAGATCTGGGTGAGGCTGAAGGAGAACCAGCTCCATTCAGAAATACTTCTGTCTGCAGCCCCCCCAAAGCTCTGACAGCACGTGAGAGATCAGCTGTGGCCAAAGGCTGCAGCCTTAAACTGGGCCAGCACCAGGGAGGGTGAAGGGCCTTGTTCCCAAGAGCTTGAAGGGCTGTCTGAGGAATCACAGCTTTTTCTTTTTTTGCAAATCCATCTCTGACCTCTGCCCCTGGTATTGTGCCTGGCATCACCCCTGAAGGGTCTGGAGAGGTTTAGGTTGGACATCAGGAGGAATTTCATCACATAAAGGGTGTTTAAACTTTGGAAGGGGCTGCCCACCCCTGGAGGTGTCCCAGGAATGGCACTCAGTGCTCTGGGCTGGGGGACAAGGTGGGGATCAGGCACAGGTTGGACTCAATGGGCTGGCAGATCTTTTCCAACCTAGATAATTCTGTGATTCTGTGTTTTTTGGTATCTCATGCTGCACAAATGCCTTGTGTTAGAAGAGAAAGTGATACAAGTGATGCCTTTGGAGTCCAGGAGTCCTGGGTTGGTCAGATCTGGAACAAAAGGCCCTTTGAGAGCAGGCACAGGGTGCTGTGGCACAGGGAGCCCCAGTCATTATGTGGCCTTGGATGATTGTTACTTTTTTAAATGTTCAAGCAAGTTACAGATATTTCCCAAGAATTCACACTGCTCTTGCCACTCTCTGGCAAGGAAACCTTGGGAGCTAGAGAGGGAGATGGTGTTGTTCTTGGAACCAGCCTGATCCATAAGCTCCTGACCAAGCCTCCTCCTTTGCCACCACAAGTTTTTTCAGGCTGGACCCGGTTCAGGGGCGGTTTAACCGCTGTCCTGGCTCGTTGTACAGCTGCAGTCAAGCCTGTCCACACTTATAACACACTTCAAGGGCAAACTCCATCATTAACTCAGTAAAAAAGTCCTGGATTTGACTCAGATGGTCACTAGAGTAACAGTCCCCACAGAACATGGTTGCATCTCCTTCCAGGAGGCTCCATGGGTGTGACATTGGCAGTGATTCCTTTAAAACTTCCCTTTTTTTCCTTGGTGTGTGGTGTTTCCAATCCTGTTAATTGAGGATGAGCAATCCCATTAGAGTAAAACAAGATTGCCCTGGCCCCTGAGCCATCGACCAAAACTTGGGTTTGAAATAGAGATTTTCAGAATGATCACTATTTTTAAGTGAAACTTTATTGGGCTCCTAAATCCCCTGCAGTTCACAGGAGAGAGGTGCCTAAATGCATTTAAACAGAGAGGTTTTTCCCCTTGCCCTGTGGCTGTCATATGGTTTTTTGTGGGATATTGGGATGCAGTTCTTCCCTGGGAGGGTGGGGAGGGGCTGGGATGGAATTCCCAGAGAAGCTGTGGCTGTTCCATCCCTGGAAGTGTCCAAGGGCAGGTTGGAGCAACCTGGGCTAGTGGAACGTGTCCCTGCCCATGAGATGATCTTTAAGGTCCCTTCTAACCCAAACCATTCTGAGATTCTTTATGAATCTCGTTCCAAAGGAAATTTTGCCTTAATAAATCCTTACTAATTTCAGGCTGATTAAGACCAGCCTATATGTAAATCCCAGCATGCACAGCCCAGGTCAAAGCTGTGTTGGGTTTGCTTCCACCTGCCCTCAGAAGTGAGGCAGCTGGTGTGAGCAGTGATTCTGCTGCCAGCCCAGCTCTGTTGGAGGGATGTGTTTGCCTGACCTGCTGTCCCCGTGTGTTGCAGTCCCTGGAGTACAACATCTTCGAGGGCATGGAGTGCCGTGGCTCTCCCCTGGTGGTCATCAGCCAGGGCAAGATCGTGCTGGAGGACGGCAACCTGCACGTCACCGAGGGCTCGGGGCGGTACATCCCCAGGAAACCCTTCCCAGACTTCGTGTACAAGCGCATCAAAGCCCGGAGCAGGGTGAGTGAGGGCTGGGAGGGCAGGGCTGGAGCAGGGGGAGTGAGGGCTGGGAGGGC